TTACAAGGTGTGAAGGAGCCACACGCTATGTATAAAGGCACTTTTTTCAACATTCATGTACCTCAGTTTTATCTCCACAGGAAGTTAGCATTGATCCTTACAATCAAATCTGCGAAGGTTTTAAAATATTTCATCTTGGGTTTTTTGAGAAAAAGTGTTTTGAAGTTTACTTAGCTGTTAACAAAGGCGTATATTGATTATACAAAACTGTTACGGATCGAAACAAATTCAGCTGAAAATGATTCAAAAAGGTATTAAAGTTGTCAAAACACTAAGTTTCAATGATACAGTAAGATTCCCTCTTCGGTACCGTCAGATATCGTAACAATGTCAGAATGTTTAAAATAATAAAATAATTAAACAATGGTTTCGTCTCTAAATTTACTATTATTGAGCCATTCCATTGCAAAGCGATATAGTGGTTCTCAGAATTTGGTAGGAAATGGTAGTTTTGATCCTTATTTTTTTCAAAAATGACTTTTTTCAAAAATTTATAACTTTTGAACAACTGGGCCAATTTCAAAGATCAAAATATCAAATGAAAGGTTTTTAAAAGTACTTGTAATTATGAAGCATAATGATATTAAAAAAAAAATTGAGATTTTATATTTGAAAACATTGATTGTATTCGTTTATTATGGTTTTCATTGTGTGTAGATAGAGGGTGTGTTTATATTTTTCTTAAAAAAATTAGGCTTTTTTACACAACATATCGAAAATCAGCGATGTGTTGTTTTTCATTAGCTGATGATTAAAATTTCATCCTTCAAAAACTGCACGATTATCAATCAGGCAATGGCGTTTATCAAGCACCTACAATGGCGACCAGCGAATCCAAATTGCGTATGCTGTTTTCTAAGACATGGAGTGGGAGTTGTTCCACCAACGACCCGATGATACTGCTTATAGAAGTTACATTCAAGTTCAAATCCCTGTTCATAAGTTTTTCCTTGATTTCGTTGAACTTCGATGAAATTCTTCAAACTTTCATGATTTTCTTTGATGTTCTTGATTTTTTTTCCTGAAATTCTAAGATATTTTTTTAAATTCATAGTACTTTCCTAATGTTATTAAATTTTCCCTGTGTTTCACAGACCATCCTAAAGTTTGCAAAAAATTCCTCACGTTTAAAGAACTGTTTGTAGAACATCATTGAAATGCATATAATGTTGCAATAGTTCCCAGAACTCTCTTGAAGTTCGTAGAACTTACCAGGAAGACATTCAACTCCCCTGAAGCTCACAAAATGTCCCTGAAGTTGGCAGATCTGGAGAGCGAAGCACACCTTTAAAGTTTGAAGAATTTTCCTGAAGTTCAATGAACTTCTCTGAAAGTTGTTGAATTTATCTGCTTCTTTGGAGGAACTTATTTAAAGTTTGCCGAACTTTCCTAAAATTCACTACAGTTCCCTATAGTTCGCAGAATTTCCTAGAAAGTCGATGAACCTACCTGAATGTTTCCTTATTCAAAATATGGGAATTGCAATGAAGCTCTAACGATTCTGTAGTAATTCAAGGTTAGGACTACCTAAACTCACTGGGCAAAAGTAGCTAACCTCATGTGAGTTTCATTCGTGTATTATCTGAAAGACGATTTTCAAACCAATTCGTCATGGTGGCCAGAATTTATTTTCAATCTCGCCATTGAGTCAAACATATATTTTTTTTTTAAATCCAAGCAAGTTTTCCACCCCTAAGGATGTTTTGGTGGCAAATGCCACCTTCACCACCTGCTGAGTACGGGACACAAAACTTTCGGATACCTACTATCTCCTTTATTGAACTCCAGTAAAATTTTTCAACGATCGTCGCTACTAAAGTGGCTTGATTTTTTTTTACAGAGACGTTTTTTCGAAGCACAACAAACAAACTCTTTATTTTCTTCATGAACTTATTTTTTAATTTTTTTCCAGATTTTCTACACGATACCTTCAATAAAAACAAAAACACTTGAAACAGGACGAAAATCAATGCCTACTACGATTACGTGGCTGCCTCCGACTGTCCTGCTCGTTTATTTCTCTTTTACTCTTAAGAGGGAAGAGAAATTAATTAAGAAGTTGTTCTAGCAAAAAATATTAATTGATTTTGGTCAAAGTTGACATAATCAATACGGATCTTACTTGAGAGTCAAAGAGAACTCTTTAATGCCGTTTAGATTAATTGGCGTTGACGGCACCGTCGAAAAATTTGCTCTTGCACCAAATAAAGACAGTTTCTTATGGGAATTTTCGGTGGAGTGAAAGGATAGTACAAAGTCCGCCATGTTTCACGCACAGTCTGACGTTTGCTTATGGATTTTCTCATAGGAGTAAAGAGCTACAGAGTCGCCGTCAACGCCAATTCAATCATCATTTGAACCTTGTTTAACTGCAAAACACTTTTTCTAAAAAAACCCAAGATGAAATATTTTAAAACCATCACAGGATCAATACTAACATCCTGTCAAGGAAAATCTGAGGTACATGAATGTTGCAAAAAAAGTGCCTTCAGACCGAGGGGGACGAAATTGATGAGCGATGCAAGTAGATGCGACAAATGAAAGAAGATTGTTCGAAGATTGATTCGCTAGTGTGAGATTTGTCGACCATCTAAACTTGAGATTTAGATGTGTCGCCCCCCTCGCTTCAGACATAGCGTGAGCCAATTGTCATTCACTGCGACAATCGTAGTGCGATATGCCTAGCAGAGAAGGAGATCGGGTACTCGCCAAGAAGTAAGCACATCGACGTGCGACATCATTTTGTCAGAGAGCAGCTCGAGAACCACACTATAGACGAGTGCACGGATGGATTTGAGTTCACTCACTCATATATGTATATCACATATGTGTTCATTTTTAGTAAACAGGGCCCCGCTGTTGTGTCACTTTTTGTCGAGTGAGTGAACTAAAATCCATCCGTGCACTCGTCAATGCAGCTGAAATACATTCGTTCGGGTGACCAGAAACCAGACGTGCTGACAAAGGCGGTCCCTTGGACAACTGAAAGTAGTTTTCGGAATCTCTCAAATTCCTAGTTAGGGAGAGGGGGAGTGTTGACTAGTGTAACTTCAGAATTTGCTCAGCCCTGTTTTTGGTCTATGTTTGCTACTTTCTAATAAACGTGTTTTCTCTATTCCTATCGAACGAACCAAAACAAAGGCGAGTTTTTTTTTTGCCCCGCAAATTCCCATAACATTATATCCAGGTACCTGTAATGTTTTATGTTAAAATAGTGAGATTAAACAAAGAAGGAATGCTTTACTATCTTATGAAGAATTCTGCAGAATTCTAGGAAGGATTTTATTGAAAAATACTAGCGGATGCCAGATAATTCTGGGGAGGATTTTGTAGGCACCCAAGGAAGATTCCAAGAAATTTCAAGAGGATTTCCGGTGAATTCTGATGCCTTGAAAGGGGGTACTGGAGGATCTCGGAAAATATTCCCAAAGCTTCATGAAGGACTTCAGAGAGTTCTACGGAACACTTCCGAGATTCCTAAGAAGGATTCCGGAAAATCTGAAATTATTTTAAATTGAACTCCCTGAATGTGATTGCTGCAAGTATTCTTTGAATCCTTTGGTTATCCTCTTGAGATTATTCTGAAATGTATTTTATAAAGTACCTATTCAAAATGTGTTATCCGGAAGTCTCTTTGATTCTGACTTACTTAGCTTGATTCACATGTTCGGGCACCCTTCCTAGGATTCCCAGAAATCCTTTGAGGATTCTCTAGATGCTTTCCCAAGAATCTTTTTCAGCATCTTCTGGGGTCTTGCCCAGGATTCTGTGGAATCATACTGGAGTCCATCTGTGAAGTACCTTCAAAGATTCTCTCGAATCCTTTCTGATGTTATCTGGAGTTCCTGTTGACATTTTCTTTTAAATTTGATTTAAATATTGTTATCATTTTTATATATGACTTCAGGTGATTTCTGAATTTTCCAGCTAGTAATCCTCAGCTGCAAAAAAGCTATTACTAGCTTCAAATTCAATTGACTTAAGTAATCTAATCTTTACTGGGAAATGTCAATTATTCTTTTATCCAGCGATCTATTGCAATACATCTATCAACCATGGACCATTCTAACAGATCCTAACCGAGTATCCGTTTAACCAGAATATTAGACAAATCAAATTTTATAAAAGTCGCCTTTAAAGATAGCATGCCTCCCCCTAGTAAAAATATCATATCCGAACGATAACTCAAATGATTGAACTATTCCTTCTTCTTCTTCTTCTTCTTCTTCTTCTTCGAATTTCAAGCTTATTGAATATCGCATATTAGCTTATTGCGTGCTTTCAACTTAGTGTTCTAGATGCACTTCCACAGTTATTAATTGAGAGCTTTCGATGTCTGTACCATTTTTGTATTGGTATGATTGTGTGGTAAGTCCAATCATACTTCTATGCCCAGGGAAGTCGAGAAATTTTTCAACCCTAAAAATTCCTAGACCGGACCGGGAATTGAACCCAGCCACCTCCAGCATGGTCTTGATTTGTAGCTGCCATACACTGCCAGTCCTCCCCCCAATGCAAGGGGAGGGGCAATGTCTATGTGGTTCACGGATAGCTCCAAATAGAATTTAGTCTTTATAGATTGAAATCACACTCAATTATTTTTGAATATAGGCAATTAGCCGTCTGAACATAACCATTGCAACGACAATGCATCATTAAAATCCAATTACCGTCATCCTCCCATTCCGGTGCGCGTGTGACACTTCTGAATCCAGCACCATTTAAAACCCGAACAAAGCAAAAACCTCCGATCATCTCACCCTCTCGCAGGTTGCCCCAGGTGAGCCGAGGGCCGGAACTGGCCATCACTCACTCACTGCTACCTACATTGATCCATTTGATTGCGAACCCCACGTAACCAGAGCAGACCGCGAGTGGCAGTTTACACAATGGGAAATTTTTTCGCGATCGACGACGATTGAATATTATCAAAACTTACATATGAGTCGTGAAAATGAAGTAAACGAAACAAAAATACAACGAGGACACAGCTCAATTACCATGAAAATGAGATTGCAACTGCCGAGCACAAACTTGTGGTTGAAGATCTTGCTCAGCTTCATGATCGACCTTTTTTCGAGATCGGTTGGAAAACAAAAATCACTCCGCACGTGGCGTTTCACTTCCTTTTCCGTTGCTTCCTTCCGATTCGGTTTGCGTTCTGCCGAGAACAATCGATTCCGCCTTTCCAAGCACACGCACCGACAATAATAATTATGCTCTGCACTTTGTTTTGCTTCTCTTTCACCAGATCGCTCGGTTGCTAACCGACCGGTCGAAGGTCACTGCGATGTCCATTACTGCACCAATTTTGGACAAGATACTCATTTCGATAATTTCGCCCAGTAGGCATTGACGGAGAAAACCGCTCAGAAACCACGGAGCACTGGAGTTTGACTTTGGGGCAACTCCTCTACCGACGGCGACGGAACCGATCGTTACAACGCAAAAGCCGACAATGGACTGAAAACTGCACGAGCATGTGCCAGACTCACTGACTGACTGACTGACTGACCAACCCGTCGTTGTCCGTCGCCTTTGTCGGGGTTGGCATCGCCGCATCGGTTCGGTTGGTCGGGTTGCTTTTGATGATCATCATCATCAACATCACGCGATGACGTTTCGATAGTTTGTTGTTTTTTCCATCGATGTAATCCAAATTTGATCATTGAAAGTCAGGCATTTGGAAGCAAAAATCCCACCTAACATGGTGGTACTGTGAGCGTGATTATACGATCGGAGCTGCACCTGCCCATTACTATGCTTGATCGTGAATGGGCTAAATGCATGTTTTGCACTGTTTACAATCAGAAAACACATTTTCTCTCCAAGATCGAATTCGAGAGAGAGACTGATTCGCTGATAAGTTTTACCAAACTGCCACTTTTTCCACGTTTGGTCTGCATGTAGCAATGATGTTAGGTACGATCGTGGGATAGGAAGGAAGGAAATGCGTGCAGCGAAGCATGGCCCCCCAAATGAGCGAGCTTTTGTTGGGACGACTGTGTGTGTGTGTGAGTAGAATGTGTAGGACCATGAACGCCAGCCACACTCTCTAGAACTTGGACGCAGTAGGCGGTGATGGATCGCGTTGGCACTTTGACTCAGCATAGCTTGCTTTGTTATTTATTACGGAACAAGCGAAAGGTGGAGAAGTGTGTAGGGTCCAAAGTGGTAATTAAGTTCTGTGATGAGTCAGCTGCAGCATAAGTTTTGATTCAGTTTTTTCCCCTGCCGACCTGAACTCAGTCATCGGCCAACTTCAGGTGCGATGGGAGTCGGAAAGAACTACGCATGTTGATATCGCATCCAAGTCGGGATTGATGGAGAATCCCATGGCGGATGACTAATTTATGCAAGTGCACGTTAGTTGCCCGGTAATTATGGTATGGTCACTACATTCTACCTCAATGTGGCGTCATAGTTGTTGATTTGTGGAGCATGAATTTTTAATGCGCTGAATAAAAAGAGGCATTTTTGTATTTCATGCTCCCCTTTAAAAAAAATACGTGAATTCATCACTTGCACCAACCTCGACCGAAACTGTGCTGTCGAATATTTTGAACAAACATACAATGTCTTGCTAACTAAGTTTCTAAATATTAGCTCGCAATCACTGGGTTAGTACATACTGTTGGTGTAATTTATAATATTTCATTAGCACTAAGCAATTGATACATCTGTGATGAAGGTGACAAACAGCTTACAGTTGTGTAGCCAGAAATTGCTTCCGGTTAGGGGTTTCCACATATTTGATTAGTCGTTCTCCACAAATGTGCTCCAATGCAATGTCACTATGGTCCAGGAATGGAATCTAGCGGGACAAAATTAATAGCTCCGAAACGAAGCATTTCCGTGACTTGGACAATAATTAGGACCATCTATTGACATTGACAGAGAGTTTGATATTGCCAATTCAGAGACAAATTTGCATTTGGTATCAGTTTTAACAGCCGAAATTGACAATCGTCCAAGGGGTATTCAACTCTGCACATCGAGGGATTTAGCTGTACCGAAATCTATGCCTATGCTGTGCCGAATGAGCTAAAATCTGTCAAACAAGGCATCAATATCGCGGCTACCACGGCGTAACTACCGAGCGTTTCGGCTGTTCTTGGCAGCTTTCCTCAAGGGAAATTTAATCACGGTAGAATTAATTTCCCCCGACAAAAGCTTCCAAAACTGCCGAAACGCTGGACAGTTAAACATATAGTTTGAACTATCCAGACTGCATAACCGAAACTCCAATTATTTTATTTTATTTAATGCTGATGTATTTTTCTCCTTTAGAACTACGAACTCAATTGATACAATGCTTTTTGTCTCCGAATGACATGATAACATTCTTCCGAACCTTGGCGAAGGCAATGCGTCTGTCCTGAAGCTAATCGATCGTATTTTGCCATCTCTTGCTGCATACTGTGATGTCCTTCTTGGAAGCATTTGTGAGGCTGGACGAGAAGAGCCGGTGGGGAAAAATCGGGAGAACTCATTCGTGGCACAGTACAATCCATCCAGCACGTAGCGATCTCAATAGAAATCATGTCCGCCGAACGTGCTGTATTTTCTTTGCAATAGAAACGGCAGCGTAATAGGTAACGTTAGACAATCTCCTGCAGAAGACTCCGAGATGATTCGGTCGGGACAATGGTTCACCAGAGGCGAGATCGAAAGTCAACTGTCCATAGAATGTTTTTAATTTTCAGTATTTGAAGTAAACAAAGCAGTAACCATTATAATGAGTACGATTTGAAAAACTGAACAGTGCTGTCGTTTTATATAATATTTTTTGTGTCATAATTGTCAACGTGTGCCCCATGTACTGGAAAGTGTGCCGTGCTGTATTTCGGCACAGTGTGCAGAGTTGATTACCATTTGCAATCGTTACTGATAGTCAATGCCAACGAAATTTTGAAGCAATGAATAAAAAAAAATATTCGGAAAAGGCCATGACAACTCGAAAAGCATCACAAAACAATAACAAAACAAATGAAAGTTCGGAGTCAAAATAGAAGAAAAAGGAAGTTGGTGCGGATTTGTAGCATTACTGCTGTGCCATCCCCGATTTGCCACATTTTGGAAGAAAGTAATTAGTTAAAACATTTTAAATACAAAGTGACGTAGTCTTTAATCGAGCTGACAGCAGCCGGTCGTTCAACCCATCAGTCATGCCTACAAATATATAGACTGTTCCAGAAAGTATAAGCACACTTTCAAAATAACAAAAAAGTCATGTTTTTTTAAAGTTTTAATAATTTTATTTGGCAAATCATATTTGTATTTGTATTTCAAATGATCTCGTTTAATCAACATATTTAATCATAGCCAAGACTCCTTACTTTTCCTCGAACATGACCCATTAGCTTCTGCACAGTGGTACTTCCCACCATTTTGACCACTTTTGGCCAATCTTTTTTGAATTTTTGGATGTCGTCCGCTGGTTTTATTAATTTTCGAAGCTTTACTCTGGTTAAAGCCCAAAAAGTCTCGATTGGACGTGCCTCCGGGCAGTTCGGCGGATTCATGTATTTTGGCATGAAACATACATTTTGACTTTTGTACCATTCTAAAGTGTCCTTTGCGTAATGACATGACGCCAAATCACGCCAAAATACTACTTGACCTTCGTGCTGCCTGATCATTGGCAACAATCGCTTCTGGAGACATTACTTAACGTAATTCTGAGTGTTCATCGTCTCCGTTGTGATGTACGGACTAGATGTTTTACCACACTGGCATATTGGCTGCCAAACCATAACATTGTTACCGAATTTTTCGGTAAAATTGCCTTCTCCGTTTCGGGGATGCCTTGCCTTGCCTTCGCTTACAGTATAGAATTGTGGTCCGGGAAGCGTTTTGTAATCTAGTTTCACGTACGTTTCGTCGTCCATTATTATACACCAGGGGGTAAGGCACTCTGCCACCTTGTGTTTGTGTTTATTGTGTTTCATGTGTGTTTTTGGGTGTCGGAAGGTGTTTCTGGGTGCTTCATCGTATTTACGGAGTTGTCAAAACTTCAACAGAAAAAATAAATTTACTGGCAACCATATCCTCAATCATAACATAACGCTGAAAATGACAGACCCCCTGCGATTCCTTTGCTGTTGTTTGTATAAAGAAATAGCACAACCGGCGGGAGGATTATTTGGAGCTAAAATGACCTCAGTCCAGAGCACCGGATATCAGAGTAAGACATGGAAAGGACAGCCAGCTATACCACTGACTTGCTTGCTGCGTCAGAATCAGTAATAGAGTACCATAAGCGTTTCGCAACTGTAGAGATCCAATTTTAATCAGCAGCCACTACCGTTCAGGGTTACTTGTCCACAGATTAGTTCTTGACACGGACATTGGTCCTCTCGCTGCAGGAGGAAGACGAATGAGTACGTGCCACCCGAGAAGAAAGATCAAGCAAAGGGTGCATTTGCAATTAATTGGAGTGGCCGTGATTGGGATGCCGCTGGTGAGAACCTAGGATTTACAATCAGACACTTTTCCGTTGCGGTTGCAGTGGTTTTCTTGCAAGACATCTTTACATTTTTAGCATCCTGATGCCGCTGCTTTCGTGGATCCTAACCGGTTTAGTATTTCCTTTTCTTTGGATTGGAGGTTTTCAATCCAGATCAAGAAATTTTCCTTTCAAGACAGAACGGTTCGACGTTTTTTACAGGTTTTTTTTTCAAAACAAAATAACAATCGAATGTAAACATTATTTGCAGTGGTGCCAGAATTGATTAAAAAAAATGTTGTCATGCGGTGGAAGGGTGCTTGAAGTGTGTCGAAGTGTGTTTCTATGGGTGTTAGCACAATGTGGCAGAGTGACTTACCCCCTGTTATACACCCAGAATTTCGACACAATAACGAATCGTAGAGTTTGCGGGCCCGTGGTTTCACGGACGCGGCCTGTTTTGGGTTCCTTTTGAGTTTTTTCTGCTTCCGGTATGTTTTTAGCCCAAGTCTTTCTTTGGCACGCATGACGTTACTCGACGAGGTCCCTAGTTTTTTCACAACATCCCGAACGGAAGTCGCTGGTTTTCGTTTGTAGGCATCCCTGATCTTTTTATCGATATCCGGACTTACACCCTCTTCCTTGGCCAATTTTCTCAAGGAGAGTCCGCTCACAGTGCACCATTTGTGCACGATACT